AACGTAACCACTTTCACTATTTAGCCTTTTTCATTTTTTCTGTAGTGCCACAGATCTGTTGTTGGAAGATAAAAAGCCGGATGTACATATGTATAGTGCTACTGATCTAGTGAGCAGAACGGTCGTCCCGAAATGTCGGATGTGCAGTAATGTGTACTGCGTTCATGCTTGTCTCAGAACAAGAAGTATGCGGGATCGAGGCACGATTGGTTGCATACATGCGACGGTAATGGATTCGAGAAGCAAAGGCCAGGTCGCCAAGAACTAGCCCTGGAATGGACCAACCCCCCACAACGGCAAAGAAAGCCATTCATTTATATGCGTTAACCGATACGTTCGTATATTAAGAATTGATATAACATAGGATTTATGTTCCTTTGCTCTAGAACCATTCAGCTCTCCTTGCCCTGGATGCCTTGGATTTCCGGAATGACACTTGTTTACAGCTTTTAGTGTAAAGAAAACATTTAAAGTTATTTTGGTATTGGAATAGATTACGTCCTACAATGGGTTTCAGCGAGGACTTTTTTTTTCGTTCGAACGAGTATAATACGTTTCGCGAAATGGACATTGGTTTCACTGATTGGCTAGAAGAATCCTTTTGATTTTTCTTTAGGATATTTTTTTTCTTTTCATTTAGGATAATACGACTTGCCACACTTAAACTACTACAGTTAACTTTAAAGTGCTCCTGTTCTTAAATAACAAAAAATCTATGAAGTACATTGCAATTCCGACTACAAAAAGTATAATATGAATCGTTTTCTTAGACAAGAATAAGAGCTATGTAATAAGATAATGTTTTTAAATGTTAATCATAAGTGACGCGGCACATACCGCTGGCTCGATAATAACGCTGACCTTAACATCAAACGAGTCTATAAATTATACAACATTTACTGGACCATGGTAGTGGGCTTGCTCGAGACGCTTCTTCAATATGCGAACGTTTCGCGTATTTGCCGACCTTGTAAATGTTTTCATTTTAGTAGCTCAGCCTTTGTAAAGCAGACCGCCCGTCGGCACGTTCGTCTGCTTTTTATTTACACTTTATATCTTGCATTATTTGGGCGGAGCGTCTATTTTGCATAGCCACTGTACACAAAGTCACAGGTGTCTAAATTCGGCACGCTGGAGACGTGGCTGGAACTTAAGTTACAGCGTTTTAAGTCAACGGCTTAGTATTTATATTTAAAAATATGCTTAGCTTTGATCATCGCCTATCAGAAGTTATTATCGCTCGTTAACGTGCGATTCTATGTAAATTGACTGATTCGACGAAAACCTTCAACAAGCATCTCCAGATTATTTCTTTGGTGCTAGGGCAAGCCGTAACAACTGTTCCACGATAGAATGTATTGTCTCGTTACAAAGCAAGAGAATGTATGCTCACAAAGGCACATGGGAAACATATAAGACCTAGCCGTTAATGCCAATCTTCGATATTTCCCCATTGACCTGCTAATATGAAAACGAAAATGTAATATATATATATATATCGATCATAAACGTCAGTCTCTTCAGCGAATACGCCCGGTACACCTATCTGCAAACTGCTTAATGTGTGCCCCATCGGTGCGAAAAATATGAAAAAGATGAATTATACAAAAACAATAACTACGTAATGGCGCAAAACGTTTTACGCCATATACGGAGGATTTATTTATTAAGCCTACATTCTTGAGACCCAGTGATATCCGTTACGGAAATGGCACATCCACACTGCGGTTGTCCACCAATGCCAACAGTAAGAGAACGAATAGTAGCTACAACGAAAATAATTACCACTTGTTACAACGCAGCTCTGAGCCACTTCTGGGACGGCAGAATCTGTCCGCTCTGCTTACGGCTGGGTGGTGTCTAATACGGATCAGGGGTTCGGTTAATCTAGCTAGGAGCTGTGTGCGTCCTAATTTGATAATCAGCAGTACATCGAAAAGCAGATTACCGCCACCGCATGTATATTGATGCGCTACAAGGATTCGCCGGCTGGAAGAACAGCCGAACAGGCATGCACATCGGATCTATCACGAAATGATCGCGTCGTTTACGCCATCTCAGGTTTACTGTCCGGCGAGTAAAAGGACTCAACTCTAGGAATATAGCGTTTTTAGACAAAGAAGGTTCAGGTTATATTGTGTATCGTCATTTGTGTAGTGTACGAAAACCGCGCATTAATTGCTGCTACGATTTTGACATATACTCCAGATAAAAAAAAATGTAATCATGAAGATCTTGACTCTGTTTTCACGTTATGTTGTTTAGTTAGGCACACGTTAGTAGGGCAACGTTTGTCGTCTGGCGCCAGAGGAACGAGCTTAGAATATGTTAAGTGCATACAAAAGGTATATCAGGTCCTACTTTGACTGTTGTCCATAATTAGCGGGCGGCATGATGAGTCTGACTGATCCAACGTCAGTCTATGTTAAGAATTCACAACCACTGATCACCTTAGACGAACACAACGATGTTTCTCTTTGTAGCCTCACGTTAGGTCATAGCTTCTCTATGGTCAGGTAGGATCAACAAGCTTTCTGATTTCAGCCTACAACAGTCTACGACCCAAACAAACACAAAGAAAAAGACAAATGAAGGCTGCCGTACACGCTACTGGTGGGACGTCTAGCCGATACTAGAATCGCGAACAAATGGTAAGTTGAAGCTAGCATTGCTCACCCAAAAGCACGCTTGAACCTTACGTCTTAACATCAGTCAACTCGGAAGAAGCTGTTCTGTTTAGCATGCGTGCGTGCGTGCGCGTGCGCGTGTGTATGTGTCTGACAGTTTTACTAATGTACCAACTGCACACAGAACAGGCCTATCTTATTTAAGGCGTATTACTGTCGTTATTTCCACTAACAGAGGACCATATAAGCTGCAATGTTCTTCAGTTCTAGTCCAGATTTTTCTCTTTTTTTTTCTGAAAAAAATCCAGCGTCTTAACCATCCAGTTAGCTTAAGGAGGTCGATGGCGGAGAACAGCAAAGGACAACGCAATGAACGGTGCCACCATCACTGTCAAAGGTTCTCTATGAGTAAAAGTAGGCTCACTAGCCAATGAACTAGGCAAACTGTGCTCGTTTTTGAGCTAAACAAAGTCAACGGAGCCGTTTCGCAGAGAAAACACCACAAGGCCAAATCAATTCTGGTGCGAGTGATGCTGTGAGTCTTCGTTTATGAGAATGTGCCAATGAATTTCTTTACTATATATTTATTCATTCACCGAACTGATATTTGTTCTACTTAGTCTCGAAATGTTTACGTGTGATCTTCGCAGAAAACTTCCTATATAATGCAGATATGTTACTCGTATCGGGTAGCTTTTAGTGATACGTCCTAGCGACGAACAGTCGGCAACAACAAAGCGTAAAATGGACACAAACTGTTTACTTAACGCAAATCAACAAAAAGCTCTTACCTATTAAAAAAAACCGTGGACTACGTCTAACTATGAATAAATCTCTGAAGCTGCACAAATTTCAACACTTTAATCATCGTGTTTCTCCATTGGATTAGCTTTGTGCTGAGATTGGGCAATACTTAAGCAGATGAGTGCTCCTCCATAAGCAACTACAATTGCTTCAACGGTCGTTACGTAGATTGCCAATGTACTTACGTGCGTATGATATTACCCATTTATTTACGTATAATATATCCTCTGTTGCTAACGTGTAGAATCGGGGAAACGTGAAAAAGCTAGGCAGATGGAGGCCGGAGAAGCTGCACTTTAACCGAAAGACAACCAGCTAGACAGCTCGAACGCCACGAGCCCACTGACATGTGAGTGTATACGAGAAAAGCCCCCGGCAATTCGATTCACCGCGGGCGGCCGCTTCTACGTATTTATAATACGCCCGTACCTCTCGCATGTAAGCGACCCACTTCCTAACAATTGGTCGTAACCTGTTAGCTTGGTTAGGGCGTAGTTCGCTAACTGGATTTCTGCTACCCTTCCCGATTCGAGGCCGAATCCCACGCCAAAATACGTATATGCTAATATAATCTATCCTGCCCCCGGGCTCTTCGTCCCCCACCCCCATTAAACATGGTGCCCGAGAACAGATAAAACCAACAAACGAACAGAAGACTAGCATCGGAACACCCGGCTGCCTAGCGAAGCACTCGGAAACAATAAAATCCAAACGCATTGCACACGTGGGCTGGAGTTGTGGGGTAGAAGCGCTAGGGGTGACGTCAGCTACGTTTGCTACAGTTACCACCTTTTCTTGCGCGTCCGTGTTTGCCACCTCGCCGTTGCTATCTCTTCTGCTGCTACTAGACAGTAACACGTTGCGGTATTCATCCGACGCCGCTATTCAGTTAGGTCTTACTTCAATTCACGAGGCACAAAATCAAAAGACTCAAAAGTAGACACCTTCCTTTCTTAGAAGCATAGCCTTTCAACGCGGTGGCTGGTGAGGTGACGCAACCTGGGGTGAAAAGCAGCGTCGAATGGACGCTGGCACGACCAGCGCGTTTGGTAGCGCCAGCAGCAGAGACAGAAGACTCAAATAAAAAAAAAACATCTGGGTTTTCACAGACGATGTTTGGCATTAAGTGTATCGCAACCGCCATTAAGGATCATGGTCATGGTGAATAAGTAAGCAATACAAGTAAGGGTACAGACGAAACAGACGATTTGGGACAATTAGGAATAGCAACGAACTAATGAATGAAGCTCGATCGACTATGAGGCATTATCGGCTTGGCTCGTGTTGTCTGTATACAAAACAGATCACAATGATCACGCCAATATTTCGACTTTGGAAGTGCTATCATCCCTAATTTAGTTGTTTATAAGTAGCAAATATTTCGTCCATTAATAAACGTTTATTTTGTTGACTACCGCTGTACTATAGGCGATACAAGATACGGGAAACTTTCCTAGTCATGCTTCTTATCGATTAATGACAGGTTTCGCAAAAACGTCTAAATTCGTTAATATATAAAGACATTAACCATATACCGACCTCAACACTACAAAGTTGTTGTACACTTCTGGGCATTGGGCACCCATTGGCACCGTAAAACTTTCGCTTTTTCGTGTAAAGCACTAAATACGACAGTTACCGATGACTAATAATGTGTATTCGACGTTTCGACCATCGTTCTTACGAGGTAACAGCAGTAATGACTTTGTCTCGCAGCGTTATTTCATCTGGTGACCCCTGATTTTTTTTCTGATCCTGTCACATCATAGGATCCGATCGTTGATACCGCACAGTCGATCTGCAAAGTTAGCCTGTAAACCAACCATCTGCTCGAATCATTGACAGGCAGTACGATGTACTGTAATTGCTTCTATGAATTCGCGCCATACAAAGATTGAATCAGTTTCTGTCTAGAAAATGATCGAATTCATATCCACCAGTAGACAAGTAGACGATAGGTAAGCTTCGATATAAAATTCGCTCGACTTTGCAGAAAGCCAACGAGAAATAAGACTCGTCTCTCGGAGTGAAGGCGAGGCGCCATGTCGCCTTTTAGCATCTCTGTCCTGATGATACTGACTCTTGGGGTGGAGGGGGACGCCGCCCCTGTACTTCGAGATAATATGGAAAAGATCGCAGCCCTAGACCAACCTGTTCGTCCCGCGGAGTTGGCTGATTCGACCCTGTCACTGCGACACATTCTGGCAGCTACTGGAAGCGACAGTGAAAAAGGAACAGTTTTGTCCGAGCTGCAAAAGCTGTTGACGTACCCGTTATCCGGAATAGTGAAACACATTGCAAACCAAAGCGTCGCTCTGAGACCAGACGAAGACACGTATAGTTATGTTCGTTCGGATACCGCCAATGAATTTAACCAAGTGGAGCAAGGGTCAATAGATGATTCTCTACGACTAAAGAACGAGCTTTCAGTGCTACGCGACCTACGCAACAATACAAATAGTCGTGGCCGGCCAAGGCCGGTCCGATCGGTCAACATGGTCGTGTTACCTCCATCTGAACTTCGACGCCCAGCAAAGATCGAGGAATTTGACTCCCCCGGCGATGAATTACGTGAAGTTGAGGACACTGATGATAGACAAGGGATAGATGAAAGCGAAGGCAGCGATAACAATGATGAGGACGATGACGATGAGGAGAGTTTCAGTCATTTTCGGGACGATCCTCAGGAAACGGACGGTGCCAATGAATTAATCGGCGGTGACGAGCCATTAGCTGTGTATTTCCGTGATTTGGCGCTGGACGAAAAAGCCGATACCTGGAAAAGCGGTGAGCCTGGCTTCAATGGCGTCCATCGAGGAGACCAGGACGGGTTAGCAGGAAGTGACGACGCTGCCTTGATACAGAGACATCAAGAGTCGGTCAGAGCAAGGTCACGAAGACGCTAAGCGTGGAACACCGATAGGACAGGATAATACATCGGACGCAAGGGCACAGGGACAGCAATGCTTCGACCTTGAAATCTGTCGCGTTAAATTACATATGATTGAGCAAATTTGATTTGACAGAAAAGAGAAATTTCTTAAAAATCTAGTCATCAAAAGGGTCAGCCTTAATTATGTCACTTCTAAGCAATTAGTGAAAACTAACGATGGTAAACTAACGATGGTTTTTGCACGAAAGAAGCCCTCCTCCTTATAGGAAGCCATCCTCCTTATAGTTCCTTTCGTGGCAAAAATTGTCAAAAAAGCTTTTGCCACGTAGTGGCTACCATTATTGAGTGAGCTAACTTATTATCGCTCCTGCCATTTATTAAGATTTATCGCTCCTGCCATTTATTAAGATATCAAACCTAGCCAGAATAGGCGCCTAACCCATAGAGAGGTATATTATTACATAACCGTTTTTTGAACTCGTGCATTTTCGAATTTATGTATAAATACAGAGACATCTGGACAATGGCTCACCGCGGAAATGTACGCAGGCCTTAAACCAGGCACCAAACCTAAATCAGGCAAGTCAATGAATATAGCGTGCTTTTTATATCCTACTAAAAATTAATAGTTGTTAGTTGGCAAGAATCTGCGCTTTATCGTCCGTTTGTTCTAATTTCGTCCAGTAATCCAGCCTGATTTAACGAAAAAAAAAACACCCAAACGCACAGATGTTAATAGCAATAGGTCGGTAATAAAGGCTCGATACACAACTCGATGATACATCTCAGAGATTTAATATTTTGACGAATATCCATCCGAACTAAAACACTTTGTAGACGAAAATTTTCCTTATACGTTATATATATATATATATATTAAACGTTATATATATATATATATATATATATTAACGTATAACGAAATAGCGGACTGTCGACTTTTCCACAGCGGAGTGGCAAGTGGTACTGCAATTCCTCGCATTGAGATCCTCGCATTGATAACAGAATAACTGATAACAAACTAATCATAAAAAGATCTTGAGAGTTTCCTTTTTTCGATATTTACGATGTTCGAATCACTGCTGCATCGTTGTTGCAATAAGAAATAGCCCGTCGAACCTACTTCTACAAAGCTAGGAACAAGCGAGCAGGGTGAACCTTGAGTCCCTATTAGTTAAAGCTAGATCCTAACTGATATCCGTTTTTAATTCGTAATTGGCGTTCGTATAAGAAGCGAGCTACAGCTTACGCCATTGAAAAGATAGTCGTTTCGTAACGTACAACAACTGCCATTAAATTACTTCTCATATGAGGAATATATAAGTGTACATCATTTCCTTCGTGCCTTTATGCTTGTCCGAAAACGATGTCCTCGATTGCACCTGAAACGAAATCGAGGTGGAATACGCTTTTGTCATTATTTGTAGTTTTGCTAGCCCTTGGTCATGTGTGTACGGTTCAAGTGAGTGCGACTGAAGTAAACGCTACATCCGGTGTTGTTGTTGCTGATATCGATAAGGGCAATGAAGGGATGCACAAGTTCTCTGTTGCTATCGGGTTGCTGCGGACGATTCGACCTGCATCGGAGCTTTTTACTAAGCGAAGGACAGCCGCGGCTAACGTACCGAGCACAGATAAGGTATCGACGGATCAACAACCTTCAAAATTGATGCGGCTTCCCATTGAATACACTCACGCTGATAAGAGTACCGCTGATGACGACAGCGAAATTCCCAGCACCGATCTCCCTAAATATACGAACTCTAACAACCTAAAAGAGAGGAGACATACAGATGCGAGCGCTCCAGATGGGCTGGTAGCTGCTAATCCATCGAATCCACCTCTCGTTCGCTCTGGGCCGTCAGCGAAAATCCCCCATCTACAGAGGCTGCCGTTCGCAAGTGCTAAAGACGGTCGAAAATTCTCAGCCCTACCTCCGAACTTCGGCCCGACTAAGCAATCCAAGGAAGACACGTGGCTGGAAAAAGATCGCTTAGGTCATCGAAGCTACCGTTTATTTCAGTCGCCTGAGCTTGCGGACGTCGTCGGAGGAACAGCTTATGGGTCGAACCAGCAATCGAAGGATTCTGCAAGTGATAGCGACAATGTTCATAGGAAGAGAAGAACCGAACAGAAAGATAAAGTTGAAGTAACTTATGATAAATCAAACGTAGACCCTGATACATGGTCAGCCTATTTAATTAGCGCGGGCGACGAAGATAACAATGGTGCTTATGGCGATTATAACGATAAACTTTATGCAGACGAGTTGAACTTTAACATTTATAACGCAGACGACGACGGCGACGGCGACGACGATTTAATTCTGGACGATTACGATGATGACATTGACTGGTTTGGATGGAGCAGCATTGACGGGAGCACACGTGGCTACGTAGGTGTCTACGGTGATGCCACAGGTAAAGCCGATAGAACTGGGGCGTCTGGTGACAGGAGTGTCGCACATGTGCCTTTGCTTGCACATAAGATTCGGCAGATAAGAGACGTCCATGACCGTGGCGCGGGTTTTAGCCATAATAACTGCTACGACCGGAAGGTTAATGAGGGTGGAAATTATCGTGGGAAAGGGAGACGGCGCTCTACCGGCCGTCGATAATATAATAGATAATAATAGATCTAATCAAGAGGACAAATCGATTGGTTAGCTGACGAACAGAAACGGTTCCCCGACCACCTGCCACGTCGAAATGACGGATAATACCATGACAAATGCGATCAATTGGTCGAGTGACCAAACACGCCGTCCAAACTATCGAGGAAGAAACAGACTGATTATACTTACTGAGATCACAGGGCGCACATGCATGCATACATACATACATGTCCACAATAGAGATTATCAAAGACTTTGAAATGTCCCGAAGATTTCCCGGAATGGTACAACAATAGCGGAAGGCAAAAACAACTTTTGGTCACTTCGTAATCTTTCCAATATCGCTATCTTTTTCCAATTCCAATTCCATCCAATCCAATTCCAATAACGTATTGTTACGCAAGATTATGAAGCTGTGCGTTTTCGTAATCCGGTTATAAAGGGTATCGTAGGTAAAACATGCAATAAAGGGAATAGCAAATTGTATGGTATTTACGTGTCGTTGACGGGATATCGAATGACTATTCCATTGACGGGATTATATTTTTTTAAAAGCTCTTCCGACAATGGCGCTGATTTATGGCCATCGTAAATTTATGACACAATGTTTGAAGAAATTTATGACACAATGTTTGAAGACACCGAGGCTTAGCGGAACGGAGAGAGGTGATACCATCTGACCTTACCATCACGTTTACACAATGTCTGAAGACACCGAGGCTTAGGGACCTGAATATTCATGCCGATCGACAATTTGGGACTATGTCATTCTATAATTTCTTCTTCTTTTCTATTATATGATGCTTCCGCTATCTATAGAGACCCCGCTGCCCTTTTTAAAAGAAAAGTCCACTGAAAGAGATGGACTTTTATTTTAAAAATTCCATAATCAATTCAATAAAGCTTTTACATAGCTACTAAGCAACCTTGCACCGAAAATGACAAAAAATTATTATAAAAAGGTAATTTCTTCTCTATATGATTTTTAAAAATTTTTTTAGCATGAAAATAATTTGGTATTCAATATGCAGAACTTGTCATATTTCCTCCTATTTCTTCCTGACACCACGTTTGCATATATATATATATATATATATATATATATAGTAAAGGTGGAAGCCAATCAAGACACAACAGAAATATTCATGTATAAAAACAATATATATAGACTGGTTGCCATTTTTACAATTTACACAATAACTTGCTGCATAACGAAACTTTTTTTTAAAAGGAAGATCTTTATCCACTAAGCTTATTGTAATTTCCTCAATATTACCGAAAAACGACAGGCATCGTCAGTTGTAGGCTCGCAAAAAAAGCAAGCAACCGCGACGTGGCCGCTGGATACATCGATACTTGTATGGACAGAGGTACTTAAATGCGTTATTAGTAAACTAAAAGCATCGTAACTTCAGCTTCGCGAAACTTCACGACTTAAACACTGGCCACGAGCACTCATCAGAAGTGGATGCCGCTGCGAGGTGTAATCACCCGGCTACATTTCGTTGACCTCTCCAATGGGAGCAACATTTCCGAGACGTGCTTCATTCGGTGTTCGTATCGATATGTAGTCTTGCATCCTAGGCCATTCTAGTTACATATAGAATAATGCTCGACAAACAAGTTCAACTTAGATATTTTATCGGTTGGCCCTTATCTGTAACTAATGTCAACATTATTTTCAACGCGTTCTACGTACAGAAGAAAATTGCACAACTAATTTCTACAAAACGTCGAGATATCACCAATGATATTCTTCAAGTACAGTCCACCTCGTATACAAGTTTTCTTCGCGTTTCTTATCGGTCGGAACACGCGCTAAGCCTCAGGAATGACAGCTGCATAATCAATTCTTGCTGTTATATGTTACTGCGTAAACCGCCGATTTCGGTGGTGGCCGTAAAGACATCCCGAGCCTCGTATTCTAGTTCTCCAGCTTTGGCACTGTTGGGAACGGAGACGAATGCGCCAATTGAATCAACTCTAGAGATCCTCATCCGAAAGAGGCGTTTTTGGGCTTATCAATACATCAAGCGACCTGACCATGACGACCAGGCAGGCCAAAGCAAAATAGGCCAGCAGACGCATGAAAGAGCATGAAAAAACAATCGCGGCGTGAGGTGGAATCGCCGCAAGCGTGGGGACCAAACTGGTAGTGATTGTTAAATTAGATGATTACTGCCTTCCGCCACCAGGGCGATGATGTGGCTGATCTGTGGAAGCACATTCGGCTTTCGATGGCCGGTGGCCGAAAGCTGCGAGCAGTGCATTGTTACTTTAGTTTTAAATGCAGCGAACGAAAGCTTCGGCAACTTTCGGCTTATGGCGCATACACGTAGACACGCAATTGCCGGAAGATCCCAAAGTTTCACAGGTGCATTAATCACAGTGAATGTATTTATTTAATTGATTACGTTAAAGTACAGTTTCAGAAAAGAAATTTCAAAAAAAAAAGTATCAATTTCGATCTTATGTCAGTTTTTCGTGCATAAAAGATGGCGTCTTCCATCACAGATGACGCCAACGTTGACACCTTGTATATTGCATTTGGATTAATTTTTTAATCC